TCCCCAGCATGAGTTGAACTCCACCCATCTTAAAGTTGCCAAGGTTGAGAAGCACTGCCCTAGGGACATCCCTGCATCCCCCCCCCACCTTCCTCTGGCAGCTCCAGGCACTTTCTATAAGAATAACAAAAGCCCTGAGGTTGGCTCAGGCCACCCCCTCCGGGGGTTTGTGTCACACAATGGTCAACCCGGAGGGAGGTGCATTCAGGAAGTCCACCCAAAAGGGGAAGGAAGGTGATCACCCGTTTCAGGTGCTCAAGGCATCGCGCCTGCGATTGCCACAGTAGTAAACACCATCAAGACTAATAGCTTGATCCTGCAGGGAAAAGGATGAGGTAATCCCGGCTGGGATCTTCCAGTTCATCCCTCAGGTCTGGGTTGGGCAGAGCTTGGGTGTGTGAGTACAGCCAAAGCCACTAAGAGCATCTCGAGCGAGAGAGTTCAGGTTGAAAAGGACAAGCCAAATGTATTAAGGGAGTGACCAGCTGGATGGAATTCCCACAGCTCTGAGTGCTCGGCCTTTATAGTAGAAAAGGGAGCAAGGAGGTGGGTGGGACGGAGGGAAGGAAGGAAGGGCTGCAGTTGTGAGAATTAGACCTGGACCACACGAGACCAGACTGATCCCTTGCCCAAACAATACCAGGTGTCTTCTCCCCCACCCTCAGAAAAGGAGGCAGCTCTCAGTCAGATACATGGTACAACTGAGAAAAAGGGGCAGTTCTCAAATCCTTGTTTCTGCTATAAGTTTATATTTGACAGTTGTTGAATTTCTTCTGCAATGGTTTTTCTAGTTCTTGGGGGGAAAAATCAGGACATATCAAAGGGTGATCTTTGGATCACTGCCTGCAAGGCTTCCCAACTGGTAGAACAGATCTGAATGAAGGTGGCCCAATCTTGGGGAGTGGAATCAACCAATATGTGGACCATATGAATTGGTATCAGCTAGAATTTTGTGCGTGCCTATAAAAAGGAAGGAATCTATAGGTTGATACCTGCATGTTACCCTTCCAGATAACGGAAGAACCAGGGATGAGTGTGGGGAAAAGTTGTGAACCGTTCTGAATGAACGTGTTGCCCTTGCGAGGTAGTCCAAACAAGAAGTACCACCAGGAGTACTAGCTCTATCTCTATTGTAAGGTTACATTCAGAATCCTTTGTGCATGTGATAAATTCATGTGTACATGTGACACTTTAATATAAATCTAAAGCCACTGGAAACAAAACAAATAAAAGAAGCTTGTGAAATAACTGCAGGAAGAGAAAGAATTATTTGAAGAAGGTTAATCTTCCAACAGAATGAAAAGAAAGCTGCTTGGAAGAAAGAGAAGAAAATCTGTTTCAGAGGGTCTCAGAAGTGTGTGAATTTACTCTAATGGGAATATGAATAAGGAAGGTTGGTGTAACAATGACACGAAAGAAGCTGGGGAAGAGATAAAAATACATGAATAGATTAGACCAGACTAACGTCTACTGCGAAAGTGAGGATGGGAGAAAATACTGTACAATTATAGAATGTAGTTAAAGAGAAGAAATAACCGCTAAGATTTGGGGAAGAATTTAAACCATTTGAATACTAATAAATGTTCTAGCACGTACAGTACAGCAAATATTTAGCAAGCACTAAACGCAAGTTGGTACATAATAATAATTTCTATATTTTATTTGTGGTTAGGCTTCAAGAGGAAGTTGGTTGGGGCAACTAGAACTAGCTGAAGATGTGATTTGACATTTGGCAGGTAGATATAGCAGGCACAACTTAGTGACTCGGATCTATTTTAAAACTTAATTTGTAACCAATCACATTTATAATCTTGAATTTCCTTGTTGTTTGATTATAAATATACTCTGTTTCCTGTGTATTAGGGTTTTGCCCATGGAATGATGCTGAACAATGTCCATGTGTGCTTGAGCTGGCTTTGCAAACCCATCATAAAGTGTTTGGAGACTGAAGTGTCCTGCCTGAGTAAACAAAACGAACCTCATCTTGAGAGAAAACTTGTAAGTTGCAAATGAGATGAAAATTCAGGAATTCTGTCTTACCAATTTTTCTCCAACGGATTAAAAGAGGTAGATGAAATACTACTGAAAATAAAACATTGTTTTTGAAGTGGATGAAAAAAGTAAGCAAGGAAGCCTCCAGCGAAGTATTTGGAAGTAAGATAAAAATAGTGAAATTATTTATTATGAAACCAAAGGGAGGGAATGCTGGAAGCAGTATTTAAGAGATGTGTATGGGGAGGAAAGAGAAATGCCAAAGCAGTAAATTGAAATCAATGCTATAGATGTCAGAGATGGAGAGGAAATCAGAAATACTGTGAGAACATTAAAAATGGTGAGGCCGCAGGTATAGATGGTGTAAACAGATCAAAGTTAAAATATGGATGTGGCTTGTTTACGTGTAGGTCTGCAACTCGTTTGACAGGTAGGAAGGCTGCCTTTCCGCCTGACAATTGGAGGAAGGGCACTGCTGCCCTGATACAAAGGGGGAGGGGGAAGAGGGGTTGTGCCCTAGGCGAGCCTGGGAGGAATTCTGATGGAAGAAGTAGGAGATGATGCCAGTGAGCCACAGTGGGCAAATGCAGTAGTGTGGCCTCATGCCAGGCAGTGGGTGTGCAGACCGGATTTTTGCTTTTCAGCAAGTCACCGAAAAATGCACAAATGTAAGAAATGTATTGTCACTTGTTTTGGAGAAAGCATACGATAAAGCAAATATATCTGAATTATACAAGTTGGTGGCCCAATGTGGATTAAAGTTGGTGGCTAAATAGAGTAATAGTGGTATATAACAGAAGTATGTGTGAAAATCAATGGTTGGTTGGCAAGTGCTTCAACACCGAGTAGGGAGTAAGACGAAGACATGGGATGTTCCCTTGGTTGTTTATGTACAGTCAGGTCCAGAAATATTGGGGCATCGACACAATTCTAACATCTTTGGCTCTATACACCGCCTCAATGCATTTGGAATGAAACAAACACAATGTGCTTTAACTGCAGACTGTCAGCTTTAATTTGAGGGTATGTACAATTGTGTTTGTTTCATTCCAAATCCATTGTGGTGGTGTATAGAGCCAAAGATGTTAGAATTGTGTCGATGCCCCAATATTATTGTGTTTGTTTCATTCCAAATCCATTGTGGTGGTGTATAGAGCCAAAGATGTTAGAATTGTGTCGATGCCCCAATATTATTGTGTTTGTTTCATTCCAAATCCATTGTGGTGGTGTATAGAGCCAAAGATGTTAGAATTGTGTCGATGCCCCAATATTATTGTGTTTGTTTCATTCCAAATCCATTGTGGTGGTGTATAGAGCCAAAGATGTTAGAATTGTGTCGATGCCCCAATATTATTGTGTTTGTTTCATTCCAAATCCATTGTGGTGGTGTATAGAGCCAAAGATGTTAGAATTGTGTCGATGCCCCAATATTATTGTGTTTGTTTCATTCCAAATCCATTGTGGTGGTGTATAGAGCCAAAGATGTTAGAATTGTGTCGATGCCCCAATATTATTGTGTTTGTTTCATTCCAAATCCATTGTGGTGGTGTATAGAGCCAAAGATGTTAGAATTGTGTCGATGCCCCAATATTATTGTGTTTGTTTCATTCCAAATCCATTGTGGTGGTGTATAGAGCCAAAGATGTTAGAATTGTGTCGATGCCCCAATATTATTGTGTTTGTTTCATTCCAAATCCATTGTGGTGGTGTATAGAGCCAAAGATGTTAGAATTGTGTCGATGCCCCAATATTATTGTGTTTGTTTCATTCCAAATCCATTGTGGTGGTGTATAGAGCCAAAGATGTTAGAATTGTGTCGATGCCCCAATATTATTGTGTTTGTTTCATTCCAAATCCATTGTGGTGGTGTATAGAGCCAAAGATGTTAGAATTGTGTCGATGTCCCAATATTTCTGGACCTGACTGTATTTGTGTGTGAGGAATACATGTGAGGTTAATTGGAGACAGGAAGTTTTTGTCTTTTATTTATGCAGATGAGGCCGTGTTGTTGGCTGAGAATCCAAATGATTTGCAGTGTTTTTTTAGATCGTGTATGATGCAGTGAGGAGTAAGCACCTGGGATTTAATGTATTGAAGACCAAGATAAATGTGCTTGACAGAGAAAATGGAGTGAACAGGTGCCAGTTATACACAAACAATGAGAAACTGTAGAAAGTAGATGATTTTGTATTTCTTGGTTTGAATGTTTATTGAAGATCGGGAAATGGACGGAGAAATTTAAGTTGTGCAAATGGAGGTAGAAAGATCGTGGATAGTACGTGGTCTGAAATGAAGAACGAGGCAAAAATGCTTCTTCTTACATTGTTATGAAAAGGATTTGGGTATGTCTGTAGAGAAATAAAAGTAAGTTGAATATAGTAGGAATGAGGTGCTAAAGAAATGTGTGCAATAAAATGAGAAGAGACCGGGTCAAGACTGAACGAGTGCTCAGTGAAGGTGGTTGAATACAAGTTAATGACCAGAAGGAAAAAAGCGTGTTGAATTGTGATAGATTGGATAGAATCCAATCACAAAACAGTTCTACCAAGTTAATTAATAAAATAATCAATTAATATGTGGAGTGAAGGGAATGGAACAAGAGGAAAAGAAAACTTTTGGGGCAGGTAGTTATGCAAACTCAGGCATTATAGAAAAGCTCTTCTCAACTGGGGCCCCCGGATTACCAGGCTCACGCTGGTTTAGGATGATGGGAATGGTAGTCCAACACATCTTGAGACTGCCAGGTAGTGGAGAGATAAAACACGCGCACACACGTACACAAATTGTAGTAGCAACTTAAAGCGGTCATCACCGTGTTCGTGAAATTATAGCCAGGACAAATAACTTTTTAAAAAAATCAATCACAGACACGCCCCCATATTGTCAAGCCCCCGCCAGGCTGGCAGGCTCAGGAAATAAGAACCACTTAGATTTCTGGAAAGTCAAGTCCATGTATGGTTTGTATACAAGAGAAGAGAACCTGGAATTGATGGAAGGCCACTAGATGTGCCGGCAGGATAACATAACAGGGTCTTGAAAGCCATCCAAAGTAACCCCCCCCAGCACACCTTAGACCTAGGTCAGTGTTTCTCAAGCGCAGCAAGTTTAAGATGTATGGACTCCAACTCCCAGAATTCCCCAGCCAGCATTAAAAGCTCTAATCCCCAAATAGGCTAATAATGCTAACTTCTGCAGTGTAGTGTGCCAAATGACTCTGTGTCGGGCTGATGCAAGAGGCATCATGGTTTAAGCCAGTGTTTCTGAACCTCGGCAACTTTAAGAGGGGTGGACTACA